CTCCACTCTGCTCACACACACATAACAGATAAACAATATGTATGAACAAACACCCACTCTATTTCACACACCCACTCTAGGGGCTGAGCAGGACCTGTCACAATAACAAAAAAAGCAGTTTCACTCAATAACACTTTGTGTACATATACTAATAGTATAAACCAAAAAAATATGTCAAACAACTGCTCATAATGTGTATAAGTATTAACTAAAATTTTGCCTTCATGTTTGGAGGTGTTTGTGCTAGAAAGTGAAGAAATTTATCCAGGGAAATGTTTAAAAAAAAAATTGACCTCTGGGGAAACCAACCATACCTATTAGCAAACTCTTGTTTATCTTCCAATCAAATGATAGGTCCTTCAACAGCTGTGCTGGTTGTTTCCTTGCATCCATTGGTGCCTCTGTTTCCTTTTGTCTACACCCTCCTGAAGCATGCCTGCCAAGAGGAAAAGTTCATTTGGAGCCAGGTGGGGGAAAGTGTCGTAGAGACTTATTTCTGGCCTTCAGAGAAGCCTTTTGGATATTGAAAGCTTTGGGCTAGATGCTAACATTTTCCCTTAAATCCTGAGCCAGTATGCCTGATAGAGAACCTGGTACTAACCTAAGCCCAGTCTCCCTAGTTTCAAGGAAGCATTAGGGTTAAAATCTGTATTATGTTGCATGACATAGCAAACTTGGTGTTTTGTGTATCTGGCAGGAAATTTATCACCTTGATTTAAAAAAATGCCTCCTGCAGGGAGAGAATTGAAAGAAATTAGTTGCCCAATGTCCTTCATCTGTTTTTGTTTACCTTGCTTCTCTGCAAGGAGGGCTTATTCATTTCATCTTCCAGGTGGTAATGAACAGTGAATAAAATGGTGATTATCTATATAATGCAAAGCACCCCCACACAAATTAAATGCATTTTTTAATATCTTCCCAAAGTGCTGAGCGCAGTCTCTTATATAAAGGCACTTAATAGCTACTTTAAAAAATGAATACACAATTTAATGAATGAATTGCCCCCAAAATATCCAGAAACTGATTACAAAGTGTTTTTGTTTGTTTTTAATTTGCATTGTCCAAAACAACTGACTCCATTCTCTACCTCCCTTTTCTAACACAGTCATGATCTAAAAGAAACAATCTCCTTTCTGTAGAGCCCTTTAGGCATGCCTGATTTGTATTCTCCAATTAAATTGTAGCCACAAATCTCCACATGAACTCTGGATAGATCAAGCAGTTAGCAGAGACACTTTCTGCCAAGAAAACACAGGCTTAAGTTTCAAAATTCTGGTGTTCTAGTTGGGACACCAACCGGTTATGTGACCTTAAACAAGTTTCTTGACATGCTTGTGCCTCAGTTTAGCCATTTTTTAAGTGGTGGTGGTGGATTATTTAATACCTTCTGTTCCTACCTACTTCATAGGTTATTGTGAAGTTCAAATGAGATAGTAAATGTAAAAATGCTTTGAACTTTTCAAAGCACTATGCAAATATAAGGTATTATTATAGGTAGATGTATTTTAAATTAATTATCTAGTTCAAGGGACTTTACCCTAAACAACCTGTTTTACTACTTATTGTTTCAGAAAACAAACAGGTTTCTCTCTCTCTCTCTCCCTCTCTCTCTCTCTCTCTTTCTCTCTTTCTCTTTCTCTCTCTTTCTCTCCACACACATCCTGCTGCTCCCAATCTAACAATTTCTCAGCTTTGAGGATTTTCCCCTGGATTGGGAAATATGCATCTGCAGTTGAATATGAAAAGCCAAGAATTTATAGAATCCTCTCGCTATCCCACCCCCCAAAATTTTACCTTTTTAAAGCTCTCAGAAAAGTAAACTTAATGAAGCACAACAGCCTTTTCATACTACGTAATGTCATGTATTTAATCAGTGGGGTTAGATGAGCCATTCATTTGAAACTTGGCCATGCTACATACATTTCGATCACCCTTTTATGCCAAGCCTGTCTGGAAAGTACTTGGGGAACAAGGCAGGGAGGACCGACATGGAACTCATGCTAATGAGTTCTCCATTCCCCAAGGAAACATAATCAGGGCAACACTCAAGGATTCATCAACATGTTTTATTAGCACTATGTGACCTATATGGTTTACTTTAAAGAAACTACCTCAGTGAAATAGCTGACAGATCCTTATACAACTGTTTAAGTAATCAGGCCCAATAAATTTCTGTAACTTTAAGGAAATACCACCCTCAGGGTCTTCTTTTATAAGTGTTTATCATTATTTATTCATTTTCTATTTGATGTCTTAAAATATCATGGCTAAACAAATAAGCAAATAACTGCTACAAATAAGATGATTCTAACGAGAGGCATTATATGTAGCACATAAAAACTCATATGAACTCAATTTAAGAGTTACCAATTTCTGTGTAAAGAAACTGTAAGATAAATGCAAAGGATGCAATTGCTGCGTGAAACCTAAAATACATCAGTTGCATACACATCTTTTCATCACACGGTCATGTGCCTTAACACTTCAGCTGCTAATCTCTAATATGTATATTACATGATCTTGAAACCAGGTGTTCGGATCCTCATGACAGTATTTCTAGAATGTGGTCAGGAACCACCTGCAACAGAACTACTCGGAGTGTTTCCTAAAATGCTGATTCATAGGCCCTCCCCTAAATTTACTGAATTAGAAGCTTTTATGATGGGGCCCTGGATTAAGGATTTTTAAAATACCCCAGGTGATTTTCATGTGCAGCAGTTTGAGCACTGCTATCCAATAGAAAACCATGGAGCGTGTGGGGAATCTCAGAGACACGATGAGTGAAATGTGGCTGGCTCCTTTTTCATTATGTGAGAGGAATTCAGATAAGGACAACCCTGGTTGTACCTTTTCTACTGCACAAACTTGGGCAAAATGCTTAACCTCTCTGAATCCTAGTATCCTCATCTG